CGGGCAGGTTCAAATCCAGCCCGGGCCCGCCAAATAACAAAGATGGCTGCAACCAAAAATTAGCCAGGCATTGTGGAGGGCACCTGTAGTCCCAGCTACTTGGGAGGCCGAGGCAAGAGAATCGCTTAAGCCCAGGAGTTGGAGGTTGCTGTGAACTGTGATGCTACAGCACTCTACCCAGGGAGATAGCTTGAGGTTCTGTCTCAAAAAAAAAAAAAAAATAAAAAATGAATGAGTATAATCTGTGGAATAAGGTTATCTTAGAATTTTATCTTGCAAATTAAAACTTTGGACTGATAAGGCACTAATTTACCAAAATGGACTATCATGGTTATAGAGTTCAAGGAAGCTTTTAGGGGTTTGTGTATGAAACAGTTGAAAAGAAAATTTGGTGGTGACCATTGCTCATATTGTCCTTGTAGTCTTGAACTTCCACTTCAATTTTGCATCTCAGTTTAAATGTTGCTCTTCCATAAAAACCTGTATTTCTCTGCAGGGTTTCCCATGGCAAGGATGCCAGTGTGTATGTTATTCCAGGGCAACTAATGGTCAGTTTGGTCACACAAGGTCTTGGATTCAGGGCCTTGTTAGGGAGATATGTTTGTTTATCCAAATTTACTCAAATGCAAGTATCATAAAACCAACTGAAATGTATATAATAAGTAAAAGGGGTCTTATATGCTAATAGACTTCAGAAGACCCCAGGTGAGGCTGGAATGAGGGGAGACTGATTTCAGAGACTCCATCAATGACACTGAGGCTCAGTCACTCAGCAATACTTGGGAGTCAAGGATGCTGTGTGGTGGGGCTGTGGACTATGTCTTTGAGGCTTAAGGCCTTAACATTATTGTACTTTCTACACCATGTGGAAGTATTCAAGAGGAGACTATGAGCTCTGTCGATTGCTGCTGAGAAGTTGGGTAAGATAAGAATGGAAAATTTGTTATTGAATATAATGTTTATGTTAATGTCACTGGAGTGAAGATTGACATCTGATTTTCATTGCTAGGAGAGAACAGAAGATGGGAAGACGGAGATTATAAATATACACAACTCTTCCCCCCACTCCCTTCTTTTCCTTTCCTTCCTTTACTCCCTCCCTCCTATTCTCCCTCCCTTTCTTCCTGTTACAATATGGCTATTTTCAGGAAGGGAATGTTTGAGTAAAGATGGAGAAATTAATGATGCAGAAGACAGAGAGAATACCTATAGGAACAAAATTCCTTGAGTGGTCAAGAGGGTCTCAAAAATGACATGAAGGCTACTTTAACTAGTTTGATGAGAGTATTTCAAATTGTATATGAAAACACCACACTGTACCCTGTGATTGCATTAATGTACACAGCTATGATTTAATTTAAAAAAAAAGAGGGTCTCGACTGTTCAAGGAATTTTGCAGAAGTGCAAGGGTCCATCTTGGATAGACACAGGGATAGTTCATCCCTTGTCATAGGAAGGAGATGGAAAGGTTGGTAGATTTAGTGTTGGGAGGAAGTATAAGGATATCAGGTAGGCTTCAATAACAGAAACACCACATTAATAGTGATTCAACAAAAGAGAAGGATATTTCTCCTATAAGTAAATATTCAGGTAGGCAGTCTAGAGCTGATACTCCATAGTCAATTATCCAGGCTCTATCTGTCTTGTTGCCATGCCAACGTCAACATGCAGCTCACACTCACTGGTCTAACGGTGAACTGCTCTATCTTCTGCTATCATGACTGAATACTAGCCAAAGGGAAGGGGGAAGTGAAAGGGAAACGCATATTATCTTTCATGTCAAAGGCACAACCTAGAGAATGGCTGTTCTGTCCCTATCTCTTTGGCCAGAATTTAATCACATCCTCATTGCTCCTAGCGGCAGAGGAGGCTGGGAAATTTGGTGTTTGGCTAGCTGACCATATGCTCAAATAAAAGTGTTCTCCTTGCTGTATGAGAAGTGGAGAATGGATGATGGGAAACAGCCAGACTCCTCTGCTACAAATGATACGGTAGTTCTTTTCTGCTTATTTTCAATTTCTCAATGAATAGGTGAGTGCCTCAGCTAAGTGAAAGAATGGATGACACTAGGGGGGTTTGAGGAGCAAGGAGAAGGAGCAAAACAGTCGTCTGGAAGAGTGCGTTCAGCAGAAAACTATAGTGAGATTGCCAGGCAGTGTGGACAGACTACTTGAAAGAGTAGACTTGGCTCTTACTGACTCCTACCTGAAGCTCTGCATATCCAGAAAATAACTTGTTTGATGAAACTCTGCCATGATGACATGTCTGTGATCAGGCACATGACTCACTGGGCTGGAGGCCTCTAACTAAGTACACTTAAATGGCTTAGAACAATTGGTCCCTTGCTCTGGGAATGTTTGTTTGTTTTCCACATGTCCCAGTCTGTAAACGAGTAGTTTCTGGAAGGGGTTAGCAATGAGTCTGTCTCCAGAAGCCCTCAGCTTTCCTCTGTCAAACTCCATGACTTGGGCTGAAGTAGGTGTTGGAGAGGCAGCTATCATGGGCACACAGGTGGCCACTAGCCTAATAATTTAAGATTTTCCATGATCTTTTCAGGATAGATAGCCAAAGCCAAACCTTGGGAAACCTTTTCATTTTTCCCGTCACAAAGAATTGGCAATTCAGTAGTCACAGGAGTTTGTAATAAATAACCCACATTGATTTCTCTGTTCTGGAATGATTTTGCTTCCCTTTCTCCCAGAGCTCTGACACTTGCCCCAAGAGGCAGTATTGGAAAATCATTTACAAAGTTGCACAGACTCTGCACGGCTTTGGATATAAATCCGGGAAGGATGGGGGCAGTTCTGAGGCAAGGGATCTAGGCATTCCAACCCTGAGCTTTTGGCCAAAGGTATTTCCTCCAGGGCTGGGGGATTCAGTTCCTGGTGGCACCAGCAGCAGGACAGGCCCATGGAGAAGCTGTCGTGGTGTTTTCTGGTCTTGATCAGCATCTCTGATGCTTTCAGCCAGACAGGTAGGAATTACCCCAGGTTATGCCAGAGATTTGATGTGAGGAATGGAGGTGGGGCCTCAGTGGAACATCCAACGTGGTATGTGTGTGTGCGCGTGTGTGCATCTGTACATGGTGTATGCGTGTGCGTGTGTGTGTGTGTGTGAGTACCTGGGGAGGGGTCAGTCTACTTCTCAGTCCCAAGCTCTCTATGTAAGGTCTTTGTGATCTGAGCAACTCCTCACGTTTACTCAGCTTTCTGTCTCACAGACATGCATATGAAGGCCTTTGTGTTTCCCAAAGAGTCGGATGATTCCTACGTGGCCCTGAAAGCCCAGCCAAAGGGGCCTCTGAAAGCCTTCACTGTGTGCCTCTACTTCTACACTGAACTAGCCACGACCCGCGATTACAGTATTTTCTCTTACGCTACCAAGAGAGAAGCCAATGAGATCCTCATATATTGGTCTAAGGAGAGAGGATATGTTTTTGGGGTGGGTGGGCCCGAAGTGTTGTTCAAGGTTGCTGAAGTCAAGGCAGCTCCAGTGCATCTTTGTGCAAGCTGGGAGTCTACCTCGGGGATCGCAGAGTTCTGGGTGGACGGGAAGCCCATGGTGAGGAAGAGTCTGAATAAGGGATACTCTGTGGGGACAGACGCAAGCATCATCCTGGGGCAGGAGCAGGATTCCTTTGGTGGGAACTTTGATGCAAAACAGTCTTTGGTGGGAGACATTGGAGATGTGAACATGTGGGACTTTGTGCTGTCACCAGATGAAATTAACACCATCTTTTCTGGTGGGACCTTCAGTCCTAATGTCCTGAACTGGCGGGGGCTGACATATGAAGCATATGGTGAAGTGTTTGCCAAACCCCAGCTGTGGCCCTGAGGCCCGATCATGGTCCTGAAGGTGTCCTGGAGATTTTGCCTCATGGGCCCTTGTTGCTGGCTCTGGACTGTTTTTCCCCTGGACTCTGCAGGCTGCTCTGTGAACATAGCCCCTGCTTCCCTGCTCTGCGTTCTTCAGCACCTGGGAATGGAATGGAAGTGTCTGGCTTGGGAGTTCATGAACTACTCAGGGAAGTTGTGTCCAGGAGAAACAGAATTGTAAGGTTTTTTCCCCTATCTTTATGTTTTTTAAATTGAATAGATCTTAGAGGTAATCTCTTACCCTCACTTAGATGATAACACTGACACCCAGAAAGAAGTGATTTTTTTTCTTTAAGTCACAAGGCAAGGTCATCTCTGAGCTGAGAATAGAGTGCTGGTCTTCAGCCTAATTCCCTACCCAGGAGCCCCTGGGTGGCATTACCCACATTCACAAGGCTTTTCCGTCTCAGACGGAGCACACTGGCCGGCCTCACTGATCCAGAGTCCTGAGTGCTCATCATTCTGTCCTGGGCCTGGGTGTTCTGAAATGGGAAACCCAGCAAGGCTGTGCAGTCCCTTCATTGCCTCATAATACCCTGGAAAATCAATCTTTTTTCCTGGGAAAAATGAGGCATCTAGGTACAGTTAAGTTATTAATACGTTGTTATTGCCAAGAACTTATGTTACATAAGTAACACAATTTTATACTTTCTCCAGGGAACTCTTCTCCCACTGCACATGAGTCTCATGGGGCAGGGAACTTCTCCTCCATTCCTCCTTCCCCACCTTCCCAGGCTGCCAGTGTGTTTGTGTGGCCCACACCAAGGGGTCCTATCAGAGTAGCCCATCTCCTCAGCTCCCTGTGGAGGTGGTTTGGGATGGTGTTGTGTTCCCAGCAGGACCAGTTACAGTCCTCCCAAGGGCTAACTTCTGGCCTTTGGGAGGGAGATACCTTTTTGCTGCTGGATATCCAAGTTGAGGGGAGGAGAGTCTGGGACTGCCAGCAGCCATCCTGCTCACACATGAAGAGAGGCTGTGAGGACAGATGCCACGCTGGGAGCAGAAGCGCTGGGGGAGTGACAGAACAGTGGGTCCTTGACACACCAGTCTCAGAGCCAGCCTCGCCAGGAACCAGGTGTACTCCAGGACTTACCCGTCTCTGAGCCAATAAAGCCCTTGTTTGCTTAAGTGAATTCGAACTGTTTTCTGCTGATTGCAGTACAAGTGGTGACTGACTTCTCTAATGACCTCTGACACCAAGTTCCTGTGAGTTCAGACTGACCCTTACTGTCTGTAACAAAGCATCAATGGTGCTCCAACCTCTCCGGGAGTCTCCCGCAGGGATTCCTGACAAGCACAGTCTTTCTTTTGAGATGGCTACCCATTCACTCGGCACTAGTGTGGGGGTTTGAATATGCTCACTCTGTCATTATTCCAATTTGCAGAACAAAAACTAAAAATCACCAAGACCCATGAATCTGCTGCCAGGTTTAATGACTAGAATGCACCTACCTCGATGCACTGGGGTCCTCTGTAGAAACAGAGCCTTCAAAGACAGGGGCTGCTAGCTTGCTCCAGAGGTGTCCTCCACTCTGGTCTTTCAGTACTAAGTAAGCAATTAAAGTCACTCCCCAGAGGCCACAGCCAGCTGTGAGAGGCAGGCTCCCTGCATACCAAGTGCTTCCTCTAGGGAAAGCAGGTGTTGGACTAGCTAAGCAGAGGGGGTCTGGGATCAGGCTGCCTGGGTCAAAATCCTTCCATGCAGCTTACTAGTTACAGACCTCAGGTAACTGTTATATCTCAGTAATTAGCTCAAAGGGTTGTTGTAAGAATCAAATGAGATCAGGCAAGTAGGGCTCTTAGCACAATGCCCAGCACATCGTGAGCTTTCAACACAGCTGTCCTCTATTATTATTATTTTAGGCTGTTTGTATTATGTCCCTAAATAGTATCATTGTATACTATAGAAGTACAATTTGGTAGAATTTGACTGGGTTGGTGGCAATTGAGGGGTCTGTTTATTAAGAATTAAGTTCATAACATTAGGGGGATTAACAACAAATCTTTGAAGCAATTATTTAAGAATATTCATTTCTCTAATTAACTTTTTCTATTTTTAGTTTTTGAGACAGGGTCTCACTTTGTTGCCCAGGCTGGGATGCAGTTGAATCATCATTACAGCTGACTGCAAGCTCAGTCTCCTGGGCTCAAGTCATCCTCCCGACTAAGCTTCTTGAGTTACTGGGGCTATAGGCATGCACCACCACATCCAGCTAAATTTTCTATTTTTGTAGAAATGGGGTCCCTTGCTTGTTCAGATTGGTCTTGAATTCCTGGCCTCCTGTGATCGTCCCACCTCAGCCTCCCAGAGTGCTAGGATTACAGGGTGAGCCACTGTGCTCAGCTCCTCTGATTGACTTTTGATAATCATTTGGAAACATAGACTTTAAGGATACATTCTCAGGCAAAAATGAGAATGCAAATATTCTCTGTTGTCCAATTAGGGTCGATCCATATAGCCTGACATTCAGCTAAGCAGGACGGAGAGGGTTGACAGTTTTTTCTAGTTAAAGAATCCAGTCAGGGGATATATCTTAATTATAGAAGGCTATCCTAACTCCCCAGGGGTGTGCGTTGAGCTGATATTTTCTTCAGAATTAAATTACTGCTACGTTGATATACATACATAGTCTAGTGGACAGCCTGTGGTCCTAATAATTTTAGCCAGGAAAAATTTAACAGCTGGTATTTGCATTCGATGAACATTAAAAGATCTTAACAAAGCATTCTTAGAATGTTTAAATTTAAGCAAGTTAGCCTACTGGCATATACTTCAATGTAACATTATCGGGAAATGTATTCATAGGTAATTGGTGAATTGCCGTACTATATAGAGTGTTAGATGTAATCCAATTAAATGTTAGATGACAACTACCAAGGAGAATGATTCTGGTTTGGGCATGTTGGTTCTAAGTAATTCCCTTTTTTTTTTTTTTTAATAAGTGGGGAGTAAGATCAGTTGTCCAAGGAGACAACTTCTAGCTGATGTTCATAAAGCCATATCGACAGCACTGGTTTTTCTTTATGGCAGAGATCATGCATCCTGTTTGTCCAAAAGCAGAATCAGGTCTCAAGGCATAAGTTAAAAAGACAGAGGTCCAAATGGTATATAAAATATAAAATAAAAACAAAGTGGACAGGGAGTACCCCAGCACTTGCAGAGATACTGTAGTGCCTTTACAGGTCAATTGTATAGGCCCAAGATGCTAGAACTGAAAACAGCTATATGGGGCAAGGGTCAGGGCCAGGCCTGACTTTAATGGGCACACCTTAGCTTGAGATGCAACATGATGATGTACAGATCAGAAAATTAAAATCTCCTTGCGTCAGGCAGAAAGATCAGGTCATTCTGTGGTGTACATATACCACAATTTATTGATCCACATGGAGTACCATACAGCCATAAAGAAAGACGGAGACTTTACCTCCTTCATGTTTACATGGATGGAGCTGGAAAATAGTCTTTTTAGCAAAGTATCTCAAGAATGGAAGAAAAGGTATCCAATGTACTCAGCCCTACTATGAAACTAATTTATAGCTTTCATAGGAAAGCTATAACCCAATTTTAGCCCAAGAATATGGGGAAAGGGGAGAGGGAGGGAAGGGGAGGGGGGAAGATAAGTAGAGGTAGGGGGATTGGTGGGATCATGCCTATGGTTCATCCTATAAAGGTACATGTGAATCTTTCTAAATGTAGAATATAAATGTCTTAACATAATAAGTAAGAAAATGACATGAAGGCTATGTTAACCAGCTGGATGAACGTATTTGAAATTGTATATAGAAACAGCACACTGTACCCCATGATAGTGTTAATGTTCACAGTTATGATTTAATAAAAGAAAATATCAGATCATTGATCAGGCAACAAGCCTCCTTGCCTACTCTCCAATAAGAGGTGATCACAATGCAGACAAAGTTAACGGCTGTAGGTAGGGCCAAATGAATGGATGAGAAGCCACCTGTGTGGTGAGACCTCGTCTACCCACGGTCTGAAGGACAGACTTCAGGCTACCTCAAAAGTGGGGCTGGGGTCTGATGGAAATGAATTTGGAGTCCCAGTTGATAAAATAAGTATAATGTTGAGTCTGTGTTGTTTTTCCCTCATGCTTTCACTGTCCCCAAGTTTGAGTTGCCCCAGGGAAACAAAGAATGATGAAGAAAACAGATGACTGCAGATTATTGAACTCTACCACCTCCAACACCAAGTCAAGTTTTCAGAGTATAGATTTCTGATTGCAGAATTTCAGAGAAAAAAGAGGGGTGCTGCTTTGATTTCTAAATAGCTTTCTCCTAAGTCTCAGAGGTGGTGGTGTAACTTGCCTGGATTCCTTCCCTTCAGTTCCCTGTCTTTGTTTCATCTATGCATCTTTTCATTTCTCCTGTACTGAAAAGCATGTTAAGCGGGCTTGTTAGCCTTCTCCTTTAGAAGACACAAACTCCAATCTCAAATTTCCTGGATTGCTTGGTTCAGTGATCAATCGTGGTCTGCTGATTCTGGGCATCACTGTCCCTTAGGGGATTTATTCTGACTGTCCATTCATTGACCTCAGACCTTCTAGGCAGATTCTCCAGAGTTACAGGCTTGGAAGATGGAACACCATAAGCTCTTTGGCACAGTGTGCTTTCAGAGCCATCACTTTAGTGTTTTCCTGGCAGCTCAGAACTCTCATCTCAGGGAGATGTCTTGCTCCTGTTAAGCTTGCAGCCAGATAGTTATCTTTAAAGAAGGATCTCCTGCAACTTGACTCCCGTTGTTCCCTTGGCATACTTCAGGGGTATTCTTTGAGGACGCATTCAGTGTGGTCCCCTCTGCCCCACGTCCTATCACACACACAGCTGAGTGATTTCACAAAGTCTCATCACTGCCCCCAAGATGATAACTCCTTAATCACACAGAGCAGATTGCTCAGAGTCTTAGAAAATACCATGTTTCCCTGAAAATAAGACACTGTCTTATATTTATTTTTTCTCAAGAAGACACACTAGGGCTTATTTTCAGTGGCATAGCCATGCCTATCACTAGGTCTTATTATCGGGGTAGGGCTTATATATTTAACAAATGCATAGAAATCCTGCTAGGGCTTATTTTTGGGGTAGGTCTTTTTTTCGGGGAAACATGGTACCTCACGCTTACTGAGCTCTCACCATGTGCCGGATCCTCTACAGATAAGTAAGTCCTTTATATATATATTTACTTGTATAATGACAAACCTATGTGGTAAGTATTACTTTACAGCTCTCCCTTTATAGATGAGGACCCGGAGGCCCAGAGAGGATTTGAACATAGACATCTTGGCCCTGTAGCTTTGTGCTCCTACCAGTATGTTCTTCTGCCAACCCCCCCCACCCCCAAATTCATACCCTGCACTTATACCCTGGGTGCAAGAGGGAAAATATGGGGATGTGTGTGGTTTTTCTTACGGGAAGGACATTCCAGGGTGCCATAAATCCAGAGCATTGCCTACCATTGCAGGTGCACTGGCAAGCTCCCTACTTTTCATTTGCTTCCTAAGTGTTTGGGAGAATGGCCCACACACAGAAATCCTATTTGGCCTCAGTGTTAACACAACCTTAGGCTGACTTTGCCCATGCAATACTGACAAAGTTCTTCTTTGACTCAGAACCCCCTCACTTCATCTATAGTCATGTAAGCCCTTAGATGTTTGGAAAAGGGTAATTAAAAAAAAAAATTTAATGGGTGGCGCCTGTGGCTCAAAGGAGTAGCATGCTGCCCCATATACCAGAGGTGGCAGGTTTAAACATGGCCCCGGCCAAAAACTGCAAGGAAAAATAAATTTAACTATATGTCCTTAACAAACCATTCCAGGAAGATATTACCATTTGTAACTGTCCTTTCATTTCTTGTGTGTTCAGATTATGCGACCCACTGTTAGTTATTTCTTTCAATCAATGGAGAAATAACCTCTACCATCAATTTCTAGTTGAATGTTAATGAGAAATCTCATAAGACCATGATGAATAAGCTCAAGATTTTTTTTGATAAAATTATAATGTTTTATATAGGAATTTATTGATTATAAGCTACTTTTATACATAAATACATATATCTCTCTCAGGGTGTCTAACTGACATTATTCTCTGTTTTAGGCATTCTGGGTATTAAGCCACG